GCTATAAAGTTGCACATATTTTGCAGAATTACTTTCGGGTTTTTTTATTCTCCAACTTCTATACTCAAGGACCCCATCCGGATATGAATTCCGGGGATTATAGGATTCCTTGCAGTGTGGGTTAATTTACATTGGCCAAAACTAAGAGACCTTAAAAATTTCGCGTCAAAGAAACATAGGCTTATGTTAGAAAAAAGGAACACAGAAAGTCTTCTGTTTTGCTCCCATTGTTGTCCGAAAATCACAACTTTCAATTTTCTGCTGCCAAAATTATTCAAAAAAAACTTCCATTGGAGACTGGATTTTCTAGAGGCATTTCACATTCATAAAAATCTTTCTGTTCTAGTTAAACGATCCTAATTCAATCCAAATTTGCCTTCCTTTTAGAGAAATTATGTTTTAGTTCTGGTTTCGCCAACAGATGGCGCCACTTGCTATTCTTGTCCAGGCTTTCTTATCTATCTAATCTTATTTCCTATCTTGTTCATTTGCGGTTTTTGCAGCTGAAGATGATGGTTCGGTAAAACCATCGAAACTAGTCCTGTGAAAATTTTGTAGGTATAACGCTGATTTTTGTTGTTTGACTTCTGAATTAGTATTTATTCGGCGTGTTATTGTGTCTTAATAATTACCTTTGTTAAATCTACATTACATACATTGTATAGACATGCATTTAAGCTGATTTATATATAAATAAACGCATTTACTTCTTTGTCTAAGGTGGAAAACTGCCTAGGCACGGCTTTGCAGCCTTTATTGGCATTCTTTCGGACTATGCCAGTTGATATCTTTTCCTTATCCATGTATGGCAGTAAGGAGCCAGATTATCTTTTAAGTAAAAGCGGCCGTAGCTCTTCGTATTACTACTAACACAGAAGAATCTAAATATTCCACCTTTGTTCGACCCTGTATGGAATCATTTACTTTCTGACACAATCAGAATGGTTAAATCTGCTAAATTTTCTGGTATAGCAAATTTCAAGTCCACTGAATGGCTAAAGCTGCGAAACACTCATACTTGGGTTGAGACTTTAATAATTGTAAACACTGCCGTGCATATGTCGTGAAATGAAGCGAATATGTTATTAAGATTGTAGAGACATTAGGTATATTTTTGGAAGCAGGCAAGACGAAAAATTTGCAATCGCCTTCGCCGGGAATCTAACCACGGACCTCTGGAATACCGGCCCCAGCGTGCAGACCACCACACCACGAAGGCACGCTAGGAAGGCGGGAGAAATACCTTATATACTCCCACTTTTAAAGGGCAACTGAGGTTTTAGGGGACCCAATCGCCAAATCCTCGATGAGGAAAATCATCATCCAACATCCTTTTAGTTCGAGCGCCACTGTAGAGACATTAGGTTTTTTTGGAGCAGGCAAGATGAAAAATCGGCAACGGCCTCGCCGGGAATCGAAACACGGACCTCTCGGATACGTGTCGAGCGTGTAGGCCACTACACCACGAAGGCACGCTAAGAAGGCGGGAGAAATACCATATAAGATCATTTTACTCTTAATTATAATATGAGGTATTCCTCTTTTTCTCTGTTTTTTTAATTGCTTTCGAATTAACCGTGATTTTGAGTTAATCATGGGTATTGCCCCAGTATTAGTCCGGTTAATTAGAAATTGACTGTAGTCTCGGATGAGTTGGCGTTGTTTTTTTAGGCTTTAAAGTAGGGTAGTCTGGATATTCTAGAAACAGGAACAGTGGATTCGTTGATGATGTAGAAATGGCTGCAATAAGATATTGCTCAAACTGACCTGAGGTGCTATGAACACGAAGGAGAGGGTTTTTTATGCCTTAATATTAAGCTGAATGAGACAAGCCAAATCATACAAGCCTAAGTTGAAACATTAATCAAACAAGTGTCATCATTACGGAAGTCACCATAAATTAAAAGCACATCCGAACTTCAAAACGTGAAGGTATGATTATCTCATGGCTGTGATAGTTTTACTCTAACATAGATTGTATATCATGGACAGACTATCCATGCACAGTATTACTGTTGACGTCTCGCATTTAATTTGAGACTAACATAGTAAAAAGCCGACGGTAATTTCTAAAGACTCCTTTCCTAATTTTGTAGGATAATGCTTGGGTGCATAATTTAAGCTGATTTGGTAACTCTAGGCTGTTGTCATCTACCACACTCCACGGACTTAAGCCATTGTAATAACGATTTGTTTCATAAAATAAAGAAACTGCATTGCGGCATTCGTTTCTGAATAATTCCACAGGTTTTTCAGATAACAGATGGCTCCATTCGAGCCATCAATATAAAAGACGTTTGCTACAGATAGGGTATGATTTCCATACCGCTGGCAATGGACTGCATACAATGCTGACGACTATATGAAGGCCAGTAAATTTTTCGCTCTTTTGAATTTGTTACAAATGAATAGTTTCCACTAGTAAAGTTCAAACACCGCTGTTTGTTCTGGTTTTCTCCCAGATGGTATAGTGGTTAGTGACGCTGACTGCCGTACCGATGGGCTCGGATTCAAATCTCGGAGATGAAATGAATATTTTGAAATGTATAGTATCTGTGTGGGAAGGGGGCACTTAAAATACACGGTGAGCAGAAAGACCTCCCGAATAAGTGGTGGTAGGGGAAGAAACATGGGAGGCTCTCCCCCCCTCCCCAGCGTGTTTTCCAACAAAACTGGGGCAGAGCTCAACAATTAGCCAAGACCGGCGATGCATGACATACCTTTGGGAATGCACAGGTACCAACCAGTCTTGCTTATAATCTGTTCGTCCTTTTTTTGATTCTTGGTGATGGGATTCTTCGTTTGCTTGATTTAAAAAAAAATTTTTTTTAGGCTTTTTGCACATGTAATGTAAATACGAACCAATGCCTTTCAAGAAGGCCTTCTAATTAATTATCCAACAGTTCAAATTAATTTGTATTCTGACCCTAAAATATCATTATCAGGACGCAGTCTTTATTTCTTCTTTACCATATTATGAGAATGCTTTTCTGTTTGATGAATTATAGCAAAACATGCGAAACGTATCTTTCTGAGGGAATGACTTTCTAAGGACTCCTATTTATGTTATACATAAAGGAAACGATAAAACTGCTCATGCAGTTAATCCAATTGGATTTGGTTTCACAAATTTCAGTGATGATGTTTATTCGGTCATTTTCGACTCATTATGAGAAGAAGGACAACTGTTTTTAATACAAAGAAATATGCAAACTTTGAAATTTTATTCCTAGATTATACTTAAATAACTTCAAAATTGTATGCACTATGATATACTAAAGGAAGTGAAAGTAAAATTTTAAATAATTGATGTTTCGAATATTGAGAAAAAGTGTTGTTATGCTATGCTGAAAACTCTTAGTAATTTAGTAAAAGATCACAATATGCCAAGGGAGCCATTGATTCGTATATTCGGGTAAAAAGCTACGTGAAAATTTTTAACATTATGTGCTTATCATGAGAATGCTATTAACTTATCTCTTAAAAGATGTGTATGATAACTATCTCTAACTATAAAATACATACAAAACCAGTTGAGGAGAATTTCGCTTTCATATATCTACCCCACTTTTCATCTCGAGTGTGTCAACAACTCGAAGGGGAAACCATAAAGAAAACAACTCTTGGAATTCACAGGCAGCAGTTGATCGTGTCAACTAGTCATCAGTCCCGCTCACCCGAAAGTATTAACTTACATTTCCTCTTGTTACCCCCGTTCTTCTTGTGATCCAGCCCCGACTTTATTTGGGTGGGTGAGTGATAGAGGTTCACGCTCTAAGTGAAATGCATGAATGCTTTGTCTGTTCTTAATTGCTGTCAGTATAAGCTAAGGTCTTTGTTTTACTTCATGTCACATAAGGAATTACAACGAAAGGTAAGATTTTATTTAATATATTGCGATAAAATGCATAATGTTTGCTCTGATTTGAAAAGAAAACTTAGCAATCTCCGTTCTATTATTATTGTTTTAAGAATATTTTTGCTTGCCAAATTAAATCATGTTCTGAAAATACTGCTAACATTTGCATCTTTTGTATTTATTATTACTCAACATTAGTTTCATACTTAAAATTATATTATAATGCAATGCTATATTTCTTGTGTAAAAAATAATTCTGGAGAAATGCGTGTAGAAATGTAAGTAAATTTTGCCTCGAAGAGTAGCATTATGTATTTTAATCCTACTGTTTTTATATTAGAACAGAATTCAAAAATTCCGAGTAACAACCTATCTGGATCAGTTAAAACAAAACAATGTTATTAATATTCTTTACATATGCCTTAAAAGTAAAGATTTTTTAAAACTTTTTAATACATTAAATTTAAACAAAAAGTCTCCTTTTTATTTATTTAATACAAAATATGTAACTCTCTTTATTCAACTAAAATTAAAACAAAGTTTTTCAAGAAACTGTTACATCAGTTCAATAACATATTTTTTTAAATATATATTGTACTGCATTATTATTTTATATTATTCAAATTAATGGAAAAAAACTTAAAAATTACGCAAATTAAACACAAGCGATACTTGACGTAGAAAGAGAATAAGCGATCCAAATAACTGAAGCTTGAAGTCCGGATAAAAGGATTCTGCCATATTGAATTATAAATATGAAAGTTTTATATTATAAATTTGTATAAATTTTACTGTTTTAGGGTGGAGCTTGGTATTTATTCTAAATGATATGTAATAGTAGTACCCAATATTGGTTAATTATACCAGTATTCAGGGTTCTTGCGGGTTGGCGAACAAAATAACAATGAATAGAGAAAATATAACAGAATAAAGTTCAAGATATTACTTTTAGCATTAGCTGAAAGAGTACTGCTAAGAAGCACAGCAAATGTTAAACTGGCTTATTGTATGTTGTTCTAAATGCTAAACACCATAGCCTAGCACCTAGAACCATGAAGCCGGGTCTAGGGCCTCACATTTTAAGAGCTCCAAAATCCTCTTTTCCATCATCCTTATTTAACCCTATTTATCTTGCATGAAAGTTAGGAAAATGAGAGCTGGGAACCCGCAAAGGAACACAATTCTTAAAGTCCCAGACTATTTACTCTGCCCATGAGCTCCAGTTTAAATTTATTTTGGGTACATAGCATAATACGTTATGTTTAGCAGATATCGAGTCTTGAAATAATAAATGTGGTTAATTCAAAATTCTTATGGTATTAACTTCAAATAATCTTTGCATGAAAGTAGAGCTAAGATTATTATAATTATAAAATATATAAAAATTCTAAAATTCGGTCAGAAATAATAAATTTTGCTGGCCTATCCGAAGGGCCGGAGAAAAACAGTTGATCATCACTAAGTTATGGTTAAAAACACAATAAGGAACATAACTTAGACAGAATTAGTGCAGAATATGAGATTTTGTTAAATTAAATTAATAAAAGAAGCTGAAAATTCTAAAAAGGACCGTATTCTGTAAATTCCGATTGCAGTATAACACCTCAAGAAGAACTAATTATGTTAGAAATTTAAAATATACAAAAATATTTTATGTATAAAAATTTCATTTCTCTTCTTAAATAAAGATGTACAGTTGTTGATTCATAAAATTAACTATTATAAAAATAAGATTATTAAATAATAAAATTAATAATCAGTATATAGGAAAGAAAAGAAAAGGAGGAAGTACATAAAGAGGTTTACATTCTAAATTCTGCTATAAAACTCCATCACGATCATTACATTTTAGTTTTATGCAGATGCTAATGTACAAAATGTGTAAAGTTAAAAAATTTTACAGTCACCTATTTATAGTGCTTTAGAAATTTATTTATGACGTAATAGTATAAAGCAGGGTTTCTTAAACTGTAGATCGCGATCCCCGAGGAGGTCGCCAAAATTTTTCGCAGTTTTGATATTTCTTTAACTGATTACAATAATTTTACAATTACCAAACACTTTTACACACTGTATCTGAAAATCGATAAAGATAAGTCAGTACAGACAAAGAAAAAAACGAAAATGTTTCAACGCATTCTTTTCATAATAGAAACGTTCATTTTCCTTGCTTTGCACGTGACGCTATCATTTCGTCTGTTACTTATTTAAAATTTTCACATCGTTCTATGTCTTAAAAATAGAAAGTTAAAGTTGATGACCTAAAACTGCAACAGTATATTACAGTACAAGTGACAAAATTGACAGTTTCACTCACGCGTATGTCGGATTTGCGCAATACTTATGGAGTGCCACAAAATGTTTGTAAATATTATGGGGCCCTGGGGGTCGCGAAAAAAATCTCAGTGATAAAAATAGGGTCGCGACTGAAAAAGGTTTAAGAAACCCTGGTATAAAGCATCAGTTTCTGCAATAAGCTATTAAGATAAGGTTAGGTTATTTAATTACGGCAAAGCCTCGAGGGCTATCTGCCTAGGGGGAGGGATGCCTTCGTGGAGGACTTTCTAAGGGAAACTGGCTCGTATACACGTCACATATGGGGAAAGCCACGAAAACATCCATGCAGTCAGCCCGTTTACAGGATTCGAACCTCGGACCGAACTACCAGTGTTTAGCGACTATACCGCTCGGCCGCTGGTGGGCCTGCTATTAAGAAATCCGGACTTTTTCAGTGATAAACTTAACGCTCTATTCAATAACATTCTTATAATATGAAAAATAAATAAAAATTCTTATTCGCCATCTACTAGAAACAACGTTTCAGTTTTTGGACTTCATTTTATCGAAATTCAAAACAGTAACACCGTGTAGAGGTAAGCGTTAAAAAGCGAAGAAAATAAATATCATTTCAAAATGAATCATTAACTATTCTGGTTATAAATTTGCAATGGATTATAAATAAAATTTAATTTTTTACACTTATTTTTCAAATATGCAGTCATTTATTCGTAAATATGGTTAATGATTTCATTTAAAGGTACAATAAATTCAGTATTTTCTTTGTTAATGACCAATATATTGACAGGCACATCATATTCCCCAGATAAACAACGAAGTTAAAGGAAACCGTTTCCTACTCGTACTATCTGAAGGTCATTTTTTTAAAAACAGATTTTTTTTTGCTCACTTCTTCTTCCAAACCATTCAACAAAATTGCTGAAAGTTTTTCATTATTTTTAAGTCAACTATAAAAGGTTCAGTGGAAATTTTAAAAAGTTTTTATTAAGACATAATTTCTGATTCTTAAATGATGTAGGTAAAGATTTCATTAATGGGAAAAATAAAAATAGGCTCTAATTCCCTTCGAAAGCAATGGTGTTAATTTTTTTTTTTTCTTCTCCTTTTTTTTTTGTTTGTTTTTGTTTCTTTAATTAGTTATTGCAAAGTACATGAGAACTTTGTGCTTAAATGGAGGGATAGCTTTCTGAAAGACTTGCTTATTTACAGTACGCAGAAGAAAATTGCGAAAACTTGAGTTCCGACTGAATTTAAACCTAGGTCGAATGACTAGTGTTTAGCGTTCTTATGCAATCTGTTACGGTAAGCCAGAAATTATTTGTGCCAATGATCATTTAATGGATGATTTTTTTAATGGAAATTCTTTACTTTTCAAACGGAAAAAGAATTTACTATTTTCAGAGAAAATTTTAAAGTATTTTAAATGCACAGAATATGAATGAGTTTTAAAATGTAGATAACAATCAAATGTAGATCAATCTATGTAGAGATTTGAAACAGAATTAGTTACATTACATAACTGAAAACTGTTCAAGTTCAGACGTAGGAAAAGCAAGGAAAATTTATACATAATGCGGGTGCATTAAAATGAACATACGTGAAAAGTACAATGTGGTATATTTAAATGCCCCTTTTTCATCCTCAGTATAAGATTTGTACGGTGTAAAGATTTTAAGGTAATGATATGATTAACTACAAATAATAAGTTGCTATGAGTTTTGCATAATCTGAAGACAGAGTGAAACTCTTCCAAAAAAATAAGATTTAATGGGCAAGACTAATTAAACGTTGACTTAAATGGCTATCTCACTAAATTGGCGAGATATGGCTAAGCTGGCGATAATTTTGGCGAATAATTATTGTCACCAAATTTGGCGACCATTTTGCGACATTTTAGTTCGATCCCCGTACAGCTGTAATTGGTGCTGTAATTGATTCCTATATGTAACTATGACGGTATTCGGTCCTTAGATGTAACTTTAATTGTAAATGCCTTCCAATAATTTCGAGAAATGGAAGGTTTTATATATTTCTCGGCGTCCGGGGGGGATGAAGCTGTACAAAACAGTAGAGAGTATCAGTCTCTGAGTTGTTTAGTTCAGAGCGAGTTCGGAGTATTGAGATATCTCCGTGTTAGCTTCGCTCTTTAGATGCGCTTTGCATTGCATTGTTTTTAATGCTTTTAGTAGTTTGAAATAGTAACTACTGATTATGCTGTGTGATACTGTAAAGAAATGTACTAGTGTTTTTGTGGAAACTTTCAGAACTGTAAAGTACTTCTTTTGGAAAAATAATTTTATCAAGTTATCATCGGTTCCGTGTGCATTTAATCCATTACGAGCCTGTATGCACTTAAAAACATAATAAATCATTATTCAGGTAAAATTCCAATTTTATTCCGTATAAAATGTTTTGTGTTCATCACTTTTCTATCCTCAGTGTTAAAACTGTTCTCCGTCAAATTGCATGCGTAAAATTCTCTAACTTACGAAACTTCGTAATTGAAAATATATATGGCTAGCCTAAATATTAAAAAAAAAAACAAAGCCTCTTAAAAATTATTAAAAAAATAAACCCATTTTCGAACAGCCCATAAAACGAGTTATTAATTATCTAGTTATTTTGCTTCTCTTAACCAAATTCTGATGATTTAGACTATCATATTTATTGGACACAATTGTTATTTAGGTTATTCTTTCATGCTAAGATTTTTGAAA